TGTGCCGATTACGATGAATGCAAAAAAAAAAAACTCAATAAAATTTTTGGCATTGATCAATCACGTTTTTGGGGACCCACCCAACAATCAACTTCCATTCAAACCGCTGTGACGCTTTATGCATATGTAGCCTATACAGTGAATTGCTATAGCCCGATGCATAAACCAGTGCTTTCATCACCCAGACTAGTCCGGAACTCACGTCAATGTTCCTAACAGGGATAAAAGCCCTGATTGGCAGGGCGGGCGCTGCCGGAATCCGATCGCTGGACCGTGCATGTAATATAGCTATATATAGCTATAATATAGCTAATACATAGCATCGAGCCACTGACCAAGACGAATATAGAAAGTAAGATGAAAATATAAGCGCATTTGATGAAACAATTTTCCAGCAGACCCTACTTACCGGTATTCTCCTTTCTAACAGAACAAGAACAATGGATTTTTAACAATCAAACGATTTTTTAAAAACTATCAGCCACTCTGTTCGATGAAAAATTTCAGAATTTGAAAAGAGGTTTTGCTCTCGATATTCCCAACCTTTCAGTAGACCCGATCTAACTCAATTCTTTTCTACCAAGTTAAAAAAATTATAGTTTGGTAGTAAGTTCTTCGTGTGTGTGCCAAGAGAGCAGAAGGCCCGGAAACGTATGTGAGTTTTTCTTTTTTTCACGCAGACGCTACAGAATGGAATCCTTTTACTTTCTGACTAGTCTTGTAAGTAGTTTCTGTTAGTTGAACTTTTTGTTTAGCGATAACCAAAGGGCTTTGTTAGCCTCTTTAAATGTAATGAATTACTAATATGTTGTAATAATGTCCATAGAAAATAAGCCAATAATTTTTGATCGTAATTTCAGCTGGTACTGAAATCAGCATCATATAAAATGCAATATTTTTTAGCTGACAGGTGCTGTGACATTTTGGACAGAATTACGAAATGCAAAAGGACAAAAAAAGGAAAATACGATTTCGATTTTAGCCTGGCCTTCCTGCTGCTTTCCAGTTGTGGTGAACTTAGTTAACCCCTGTCTTACTGAGGTTTGTTTCGACTATGGGGATTGGGGCGTTTTAAGGAATGGGAGTCGCACGAATTCTGGCATCTTTCCTGAACCAACTCTCCTCCATGCATACTTTTCTGAGCATATGAGATGGCACTATCATGGGGTGTGGTGCCAATATTAGGAGCACCGATTCTAGTGGAGTTTTCGAATCAACTCAAACAATTCTTATCAAATTTCCTCTATCAAATCCCCATGTGCTCTCATCGATGCTTTTTCAGAGGTGGAAGAGCTTCTGAAGCCCATCTACACAAAGTTCGATGAGTTCAGTAAAACAGGTGACGCCGATGCAGCTGGCAAGCTTTACCATGATCAGGCAGTCGTTGTGGAGAAAGGCGAGAAAGCTACATTCGGGAGAGAAGGTGAGCAAATAGTATCACATAATACTCGAAGCATTTATGGTAGGGTCCATTAGAACTAGCTGGAGCAAGACCAGCGGCTCCTTAGAATGCAAAATAGTAGATAAGGACGGCAAAGACTCGGAAACATGGGCTGGATTCCCTTTCTTTATTCTCCAAAGTTAGCAAATCACCATTGTGGAAACTGCTCAGAAGAAACGTAACCAGCCACAAAGTTCATCAGAACTGGATGGTTTGGCTTCTGTCTCAAAATGAGAGCACTGAATTATGCTTAAGTGAATGTATTGGCTTGTCCATAATTAGCGATCTTCTGCCATTCTTAGCGCACAGCGAGCTAGAACTCATTGTCAGTAGCGATGCGACGTCTCTCCATTTCTACCTCAAGAGAGGTGGGGATAGGACGAAGTCTGATTCGCTACTGAACGTCACGCCGAAAACCAAGCAGCACGGATTTCTATGCTCCAGTAACCTCAAATGAAAGCCAACTTATAAAACGCTCTCAAAGAACTTAATCACAAATGAGCCTTTCACTTTCAGAGATCGTTAAAATGCTCAAAGAGTTCTTCGAGAAAGTCGGCCCGCACAAATTCGTGGTGAGTGTTTACTTTTCCCTTCTACAGTACTCTCAGATGAAATCGAGGAATGCAGAGAGTGGACGAGTACTATGTGCGAATAAGAAAGCTCTAAAAGTCTCATACAAATCAGGTCCCCCACGGAACCTACGCTCAAACACTTTACATGGTACAGTTTTTTCCTACTGGTTACCACAAAAGGCCTTCCTATAAGTAGGACTACCCTTCCTTTCGAATTTCGTACCATCTGCTCACAGAACAGGGCCCTGAATCGAATCTTCCCATTGTAACCGTCATTCTGCATGAATATTGCTTATAAATGGTGATATATGTATAACCCTGTATAAACTTTTCATTTCAGACGAGTAACGAATCTTATCAAGGCACCGACGATTACTTGATTGCTCAATGCGACGTTGAAGTACATCCAGAAAAGGGAGGGGACATTCTTAAAGGCAAAACGCTTCATATCTGGAAGAAACAGGACGGAAATTGGTTATTGTATCATGAAGAATACGAAAAGTTGTAATCAACCTTGCTAAACACTCTTCGAGGACACTATTCCCTACCGATTCGACCTAATGTAACTGTGATTCTTGAAACGCCTCATGCCATCTTGCCAAAAATACATTTATTGCGACTTCTCAGGCTTTCACTATCGCTTTTGCCGAACGTTTCCTCTTTTCTCTACTTCCTTGCCTTTTTGGGGTTTTTTGAGTGCTTTTTGATTTCTGAGTTACTTGTCAATAAATGAGCAGTGAACCTTGTTTACGTTATGATCCCAGAAAAAATAAAAAATTTCAGTCAAGTTCGAAGCGGAACAGGGGCAGTCAGTTCACGAAGCGGCAGCATCTCACACTGGCGACTGACTAATTATACCCTTACAGGAATAATCAAGGAGTCAGCCTTCTGCAGATCAGTCTATGTGGGAAGCAACTGGCTCTGTGGGTTGGACTGAGAAAGTCAAAAGAATCTCAGAAAAGCCTCAGCTCCAATTGCTTCTAGTCAATTTGCTGAAAGAGCAAGTTCTGCATGGGATATGAGACAGGCACGAAAATTCAGTCCGGCACTCGGCTCTTACAGTAATCCGGCACGTGTTAACACGTAAATTTTTGCCCGTCACATATACGACGCGTCGAAAAGAGGCTCTGGGCAACGACACGGGGGTGGGTGCTGGGGTAAGCCAGGGGGTTACTGTAGGAGCCGAGTGCCGAACTGAATTTTCGTTCTAGTGGATATGAGCATCTTAATAACAAATGTAACTCTCACAAACATAGAACTTTGGATCCAATTCCCTGAAACCTAGTAGCAGACATCGTGAGAGAGATGTGGACCAACAAGCAGGGAGGCCGAGTGCCCATATCTCTCCAGAATTGTCCCCTGTCAAGGACCATTCTAAACGCATGGACGTCATATGCCCAGGAATGGCTTTGGTACAGTCCAAGCGGCATTACCCGACCCACACCCCGCAGATATTTATCTTCGGCAACATCGCGGTGGGGTCTACTTGGGCTGAAGTGCGTATTGTATACAGTTCTTTCTTTTTTAGATAAATTAATAGGTTCCATTCCATTGTTGTCCTCAAATTTGACTTATTTCCTACACCCCGGCAATATGTGTACCCTACTCGTCCCTAGCCCGATACCCGCTTTTTTTTATGGAAAATTTAGCTTTTTTTCTTATGTCCTGGCACTTTCGATTGGGATAGCTTGCAAATTTGGTTACCTAATAAAAAATCAATATAATGATAGGATTATCAACTCCGAAAACTGTGAATCTCCAAAAGCAATCAACAATCATCAGAAAGAGAAAATCAATCAACGTCCAAAGGCTATTCATTACAGCGGACAAGGTTTCACCATTTCTTAATGCACAAAATGTATCGGTTCATTGAAAGATTTATGAGGTAGGGCCTCAGATTTCACGTATGCACTCTATAATTGGCAGTTCTTGTTTCCATTCTAGTTCCCAAATAACTGCAATCTATGGAACCTTGAGAGTAAACACTTACCACCAATCTCAATCAAATAAGTAAGAAGATGAATGTATGAGTATAACTCTGAGCTAAATCGACCTGGAGACGATCGGGGAACACCAAGGCTGCACAAGTATTTCTTTGAGGGGAACGAATCACTCAGGAGTTGCCATGATCCACAATCATTTTCAACCACTGATGGCGGAAAGAAAACCGAAAGAACTCGGGAAAATCCGTCAAATAGGGCTTCTCGAAACTAGCAGAATTGGGCTTTGTAACACGGTGGGACTGGTATGAAAGAAGTATTCAAAAGAGTTTTCAGTCGCGTGCGATTATGTAAAGAACTGGCCACAATGGTCAAAAGAATGCCGAAAGTGCCTGACAGTTTCTCAACTCGACAGTGGTCTATATCCATGCTATCTTTGGAAGCCAGAGATTCGATCCAGTGGGGAAGTTCAGGACTATTCTTATCAAGATGTGTGTCTCCAAATGCATCGCTGATGTATGAAACGTTAGTAAGGGAGCTCAAGTTTTTGGTTACTGTAGGGGAAAGTTAGTATTACTACGATATCCTATTGAGCAGTGCTTTCAACCTCTTCGAGACGGTTTTCTATATGATTTAAAAGAGAGCTCCTATCTTCGATTAATGTGAAAGAAAGTCATGAAGTCAACAAAATCGCATAGCTGTTTGAACCTGCTTACGGTAGCTTTAGTGATTTTGTGCAGGTAAGGTGTAGGTGAGAAACGGTGAGAACAGGGCAAGCAAAGAAAGCTTTCACAGAAAAGTTCAGTAATGCTAGACTTGGACTTAGTTTGAAGCGTGAGAAAATATGCAAATACCTCAAAACAAAAGGGTGCCAGCTATTAGAACTTATTGTTTATTAATAAGATGCAAACAACCCAAATTATCGGAAAGCATCCCAAATTCAATTGTTGATAGATTTTTTGATGTTCTCTCCTGCAGACAACTTTCCCGCTCCTGATCGAGTTCTCTCCCAGTGGGATATTTTACAGATCACGATTTATCGACCTTTTTACTCAAAGTTCATTTCCTGAGCAGGCGAGAAAGGAGAGCGGCTTCATCAGTATTCATGCCAGAGGGTAGCCCGCCTACCGTGGCTGGAAATCCTATACCTTCAAGATCTTTCCGCACCTGAGTACCACCTTCAGTCATCGGCTACTTGGTTGCTAGTCCTTCGCTTCTTTGACTTTAGTTGGCTCATTTATAAAGGTACAAAAGAGCTTATACGTTCAGCTAGGGGTATATGACGGTATTGCAGCGGCTAGCGCTGCAGTCCTTCCTGTTTGATTGATCTTGTGAGAAGTTTTGATTCATATTTCAGACTTACAGACTTCACTCCATGTCATGGTCCCTAATAAATTTGATAAACAGTTCCACTCGACCCCTTCAACGGAGACCTGAAATTTTTCACGGGATCGGGAACCAAAAGGAAGAATCCCACTGGAAACGCCTTCACTGAGGCAAATGCCAGTGTGCAGGAATTTTGGTAGCAAAAAGAAAACCTCGAAGCGACTGTGAAATCCTCCCCAGACGGGGAGGCTTCGAATTTTCCAAGATTGGGAGCCTCCGAATTGTTCCGGAAACGACAAGGTTAGCTGCTGCACAGATCAGTTATCCTCTAACCCTCTGACATACCAGCAACCAGACACTCAACCTTGGTCTAGTAGAGCTCGACCGTGGGACCGAGGTATGGGTGGCGCATAGCAACCAGCTTCTCACCTTGCTCCGACCTTCAGCTCCGTTTTCCGAACCAATAGCCACATTACACTTAGGCTTCGCTTCCTTCTCAGTACTACTTGGCAGTGGCTCATTTTGAAGCTCACAAATTACTTTTTTAGAGTCCAGAATAGAACACTACAGTCAACGTCAACATGCTCAGCGCAGGTACGCTTCCGACTCAAAGTGTAGGAAATGTGAGAAAAGGAGAAAGGCTAGGGGAAAATATGTTCAACTCGGTCGCCCATCGCCTTAGGAACTTCCCGATGCATGTACTATTCGTAGCCTCACCCTAGGGGTAAAGCTGAAATGCATCAGACGCTAGACATCATCAGACGATATGTAGGCCCCCATCTTTCAACGCTCAGGGTCTCCTTTTCCGGCCATTTTGACATTCCCGTTACGATTTAGACACGTTAGGAAAAGAGTACTAAATACGCTGCGCATCAGACTCATTACTTTACTCGCAATGTATGTCACGGCAATGTTTCCGATGCTTGAGCGTACGGAGCTTTAGGGCGGGTTGAACTAGAGCATGGTTAGGTGTGGGGTTTATAGACGAAAAACTACCCAAAACAACTTGGAAATCTCTCTAAACCCGTAACATTGTTAGGGACTAACATGATTTTTGTGATCGTTGATGGTTTTTCAAGGATGAGTAGAATATTCTCCCAAAACTTCCCACTGAATAAACTACCCCTACCCCTTGAAGCTCCCATTAATGAGTTTTCGTTTTTATTTTTTCCGTAATTCATAAAATCCATTTAGAAGTGAAAGATGTGCTTACTGCTCGTTACGATGCCATGGAAAAACATTGTCAAACTGGTGACATTGAAAAAGTCGCAGAATTCTATCACAGTGATGGAGTGATGATTGAAAGAGGAGTATCGGTCGCTTATGGAAGAGCTCGTGAGTAAACTTTTACTATAAAGTAGAAGTAAACCGGTCGATCAGCAGATGTGAAAGAACAAATTGTTATGTTACCTAGTATTATTAGTATTATTTAGTAAGTAGTTCTCGCCACTTGGCCCCTTGCCCCAGAATTTGGACACTTGTACCTATAAAAACCCCTCTATTGGCTACATAATACCTTGTTAGTTGTGGTACATTCCTAAAGCGAAGAACGCTGAACCATGGGGCAGAGAAGTCGAATTGCGCTGTCTGCCGTTGAAGGACTTTAGAATTTTCAATCAAAGAATAAAGGATAAAGCCTTAAGTTAAGTTAAAATTTTGGGCGTTATCAAAGGATCAGTTCCCATCTTGAGGTGTGTCCCCACACTCGTCCCCCTCCCAGAGTTGAAGTGGCGTTCTGCATGCATATGTGGCCTATACAATGACTTGCCGGTACTAGCCGATGTAAAGATAACTACTTTGGTCCTCTCTGATGGAGGTAGTACTGATTGTAAGACGACGTAGAGATCGAAGGCTTGGTTGGCCTAAGTGGAGATCGAGCTGTTATTTGATATTTGATCCATCGTCCATGCCACCTCCTACTATCTCACTTCTGCCCTTTAGGATTGATTTTGTTTCGAAAAAATGTCAGATTAGAAACGGGTGTAAACTAAGGAGAACCAAGTTCATGAATTGTAGAGGCCCCTACAGATTCCCTCGCACTGCCTACACCTGAAGAACCGCCCATACAACTTCTCAAAGAAGTTGTTGACCTTATGGAGATTAACCAGCCTTGTCCCTTTGAGGTATTTTTGAACGATCCATTTGCTGACTGTATATCTCAGAATCAAGCTTTTCTGAGATTTTGAAGCCCTTCGGGACGAGCAACCTTGTGGGGTGGGCTCTTTAAAAGGGGATCTAGCATCCTAGAACTTCTGTAACTTCCTTTGCCTCTCTCAACAGCTTGGGAGCTGTAATAACCCAACTCGTCTGAAAAAATAGAAGACTTATTGTGCATTGGCTGGCCATATATATAGTCATTTGGAACGCCATTAAGATGCTGAACAGATGTCGAATGTGGGGGTGGGGGAAAGTAGGGGAAGGTGGGGGTATCGCAAGCACTTGTTCCAAAAGCTTCCCACGGAATGAAGTCACGTCTGAATCGGCCATTTCGCAAGAGGGAGAACATCTAAAAAAAATCACAAATATCTTTTGCATTCCGAAACCGTATAAGTAGGAATTCTCCCAGTCCCTCCTACAACTGGTGAGTCTCTGCGCACAGGATTCTCACTACCGGTGGGCCCCTTGACTTTGAGAAGTTTGTTCTCACAATCAGATAAGCGGAAAAATAATTTAATTGAGACCAACAAGAGCTACCGCACCTTACTTTTCTCTACTACTTTTATTGCGGAATGGCAAAGAAAATTCCTTAGGAACACAGTTCACAGAAAATTTTGGTTGAAAATTTGACTTTCAGAGATCAAGAACGCTCTTCAGAAGCATTGGGATCAGACTGGACCGCAGAAATTTACGGCATGTTCAACTGACCTATTCATTACAATCCATATAGGTACCTTTGCGATATTTTTGGCGATATGGCCTCTTTTTTTCAGAAATCCAACGAGAAATACGAAGGCTGCGAGGATTTCCTGATTCTGACTTGCGATTCTACGCTCAGTTCGGTCAAGCGTGGTACAGAGACCGCCAAGGTTATTCAGATTTGGAAGAAGGATCAGGGAAAATGGACCATCTATCATGAAGAGTACGAAGTGAAAAAGTGAACTTGTCTTTGACTGATTGGATGGCGTTGATCGAATAAAGCAAACGTTGTTAAAGTTCATTTTCACAAAGCCCTACCAAAATCGTACCAAGACCGAATTCGTCAATCACCTACTGAGACGATACCTTGGTCCTAGAAAAGGCGATACGTGACATTAACATGTGGGAAAACGGCCTCGGAAACCAACACCCGCCCTAGATTTGTCCAAAACGCCCACTGCTCTCAGGAACACCCATTAAGAGGGAGAGTTCACGAACGCTAGCCCTCCCTATGCCATATGCACAACTTATTTAGCCGTAGAGCTTTCATTTCCTTGCTTACCGTACTTTTTGCAAAAACAATCTACATAACTGCGGGGTATGCCTTCAATGGTGTCATATTATGTCGAAGTCTTTCAAACTGTGGTGAAATAATTTTTAATAGAGGCGCCTCTAATCTTTGGAACCGTATCCCAAGCAACCAAGCAGATGAGGTATTGAGAATCTCTGTAAAGGGTGAGACAAATCGGAGAGCACCAGTGAATGGCTAGCATGAGCCACGACCTGCTTTTACCCTTGCACCGCTCTGCTACAGGATCAGTGATCGAATTACGGCTATGAAATGGACCCGAAAGCGGGGTACTGAGCTAGTGTACGCACCCTAGGCCAATTGCCCTCGGTGCGATAAAAATGAGGTCTATGCGAGTCTCGACGAGGCTAGCAGAGAAGTTTCGAAAGTGACTATCTCACCCTGGGTGACCAGTACGGCAACGTCGGAAGTGAACAGAGGGGCCTAAAAGAGTTCATGGGGGTAGAGGAAAAAGAGCCAAAACGGAGAAGGAGTTAGCGTCCTCGAATGGCCGTAGCCCACTACTAGCAGTCTGCGATACTAGCTCCGCAATGCAAGCCTCTCCTAACAGACATGACCATCGAACTTTCCAAGAAGGCAGGGATAAGAGCGCAACTGAGATCCGGTAATGAAAGCTGTACCAAGCCAAAAAGACCCCAATATTACTACTATGTAGCCTAACTAGTGCAATTACAACGGAAGGAGGGCTCTATGTATAGCAAGCGGAAGGGCAGTTCCGTACAAAGCCTCGACTGTTGCAGAGGATATATTTAGAACGAGTAAACTACCGCTTAGTAGACTGGTAACTGGGAAACAGCTTAGTGAATGTTATTTTTTACAACGAAGTTTGAGCAGGAAAATCTTTCAGTGTTGTGTATTTTTTTTATGATCACCGTCTGACCCAACGCTGAGTACTTTTTGAAGGAATCCCCAAAGTTCTGGGCGGGCCTTCACAAACACTCACAATTGTGAAGGCCCGCGCGAAGACTTTGGCTAGTGACATACATTGTGACCACTGCTTTTGATTTATTTTATTATTTTATCTATTTTTATTTGTATCTCAAAAATTCGCTTGACCTTTAGGTAGACAAAAGCTAGGACTTGTATCTCGGCCGTTTCCCGTCATTGCATGGGGGTATCGAACACCCCACTACGAATCTGAGCGGAAGTTGAGTGCGGGACATATCTCAAAAATGTGACTGATTAGTGCCGAAAACCTGATCTTTTTTCTTCTATATCAGCCCCAATTTGATTGAACGTTTTAGGATTTCCCACAAGTGGATC